CCCACTCTATATTAAGGCTCTTTGTACTTAAACTGCAACAGCTATTAAACAGGGAGGAGTCAGTCTTCTGCAAACACCCATTTTGCAAAAGGTTCATTTTACAAAGAACTGAATAAATAGGAAGTTAGAGTAGTGCTGTATCTATTGCTGCTTTCAAGTGGTGGAGTAATGCCTCCGGAGGTGGAGAAAGTGATGTCAGGTCTAGTTTCTTGAAATCTTCATTAGCACTCAATGATGTTAACACCTTCACAGCCCTCTTTAAATCAAACACTGCATGGAGCATGCCCAGGGTGGATATGGCAGCTTTTGGAGTGTTCTTTGCCGAAGCTTCGTCATCGAGGCCGTTTTCCAAGACTGAAATCCTGTTCTCTGCAATAACTTTGAGGAAGTTGTAGAACTCCTTGTAGTCTATACCTGTGCAAGACTTCATAATCAACTGGGGGAAAAAAAAAACAGCATTGAAGTGGAAACTACTCTCTTATTTACAGTACAAATTACAAAAACATATTTCATCAAGCTAGTAACTAACTGGAATCATAAGTAAACATGTTTAAACATATTTTTTTGTAATTCCCTGACGGCACTAAAATCCTTCACGTTACTTGAAATGCCACTAGCCCCAAAAGCAATAGTCTGCTTCAAGGGTACTAAATGGCTGTGTTATTTGAAACTATTTTTGAAGGATATGAACGTAGCAGCAGTAACAGCCTCCAGAAATAACCTTTACATTTATTTCATATTTGGAAACATACAAGATATGACGCTGCTCAGTATGGTTATGTGTTCTGAAAGTATCACTTTGCAGACACAGAAACTTGTTGCCACCTTTATCTTAATTTTGCTTGTTTTACATTCACTGTTTTGTCTTCAAAGCAGTTCTTCTGTGTGGGGTCTGTCTTACCAGTTCTTCTATTCACATGAAAAAGCACTTATATTTTATAAAAGGGAACATAAATACTACCTAAAGGATGGATCCTGATGCTAATACTAACCTTGTATAGTTGAAGAGCAGTTGAAGCATTAGTTTTTCAGACAATATCCTAATGTCCATAGCAAATGTGCGCTGGCACGAGTCTCTCCCTATCTTACTTAAGTAATATTTGAAGCTGCCACCCGTTCCTACTTCCGTATGAAGCATGTATTAATTCCAGGTATGAGGTTAACAAGGACTTGTGTGTCTTAGAACTCATGAAGTGGTGCAATACACCCTGGAAATAAATGATCCTCTAACAGAGAGTCAGCCAGCAAGCATCATGTTGTAATACCTGGCATTGTAGGTGCCAATCATCCATAGGGTCCTTCCATTCATTGATTTCCCTCTGGACAGCTGCTAGTTCATCCTGCAGGAAGCACCACATTATAGCCACATTGCAGCCATTCACCCAGTTGTGGTTAATGGAAATGGTATCCTCCTGAAGGAATAATTGAAATATAACAATTTGAAACCACACCAAAGCTGCAAAATGTAAAATCCTATTCCTCAGCAAGGGAAATGCTGCTTTGGAACCAATACCACCACTGTGCTGAAAGGCTGTCTCTTCCTAATGTCCCTGAACCATCAACCCTTGTTTCACTCTGTAAACTGGCAAATGTCTCTAGTTCCTCTGTCTGCACATACCTTTTAAGGACACAAAGGTGGGAGAGGATGGTGGGGAGAAAGGAACAAGGTCGTCAATTTTGGTTTGTAATCACAAGGATCAATTTGTTGGCATTTTCCATATAAATCACTTTATGATTTACCCATGTAAATAACTTACAATTAGAAACCAAGATTAACAGCCTCACCATAAGTCCATCTCACCTAGCATCCCATTTCTCAGTGACTACTAGCATCTAATGAGGAAAAGCATAAGAAAAGAGGGTGTAGACAGCTTCTTCCATTGTACACTCTCCCAGCTTCTAGTGGTCAATGACACAAGGAGCTTTCGAGTTCAGGCTTGCTTTTAGCCACCATCTTGAGCAGCCACTGACACACATTACCTCCATGAGTATCTCTAAGCTTTTTTGCAGCCCATTTAGACTTCTGGCATCCACAACATGCCGTGGCAACAGAAGTTTGATCTGATTTGAGCCTGCTGTCTGATTATCTCTCTGCGTGATTAAAAGCACGGTGTCAGTTATCTTACCAGATTGTAAACTTGATGATGCCATCCACTGGGGATGAAGACTATCTCCCCTGCTTCCTGAACAATTTCAACAGGGGGTTGACTTTGGTTGTAGCGAGGGTAAACACTCCTGTCCCGAAGACTGGGCGCAGTCACGTCGAAGGGCAAGTTGCCATGGCGGTCTTTCAGGTAATCCTCCTGCCCCGCGGGGTACAACAACCATTTCTTTCTCCCACAAATATTGGCTGACCAGCTGTAGGAACGGAAGACATCAGCATGGAATGGAGTCCTGTGGGGCAAATCAGAGGTTTAAGTAAAGATGACGCCTAAAAGCTGTAAGACGAATTCAAGTCTCTGAGAACCAGACACACACACAAATCTGATCCCAAACTGTGATCCTCTTCATTTAATTTTGACTGCTTTAATTACTAAAAGTCCACTATATCTACACAGTATTGCAGTGGTTTACAGCATCTGTGCTTCTCTGTCAGTTAGTTTTGAATCTGTCCCACAAATACCTCAATGGCAGGAGATTCTGTGATGTGAACTGATGAGCATACCGTACACGCAACTTTATCACCAATGCTGGACTTAATTTTTCACCTGCAAAATATTTGACCAACTCATCAGTGCCCCTCCAAGGCTCCTGTTGACTCTGCAGAGGTCCCTTCCAACCCCTACTATTCTGTGATTCTGTGATTCTGTGATTCTGTTATGTAGGCTAGCTGACAACTTTCACAGATTTTGTGCGCACAGTTCAGGGCTTTTTGAAGCGCAAAAGTACTTTAGCTGACTGCATAAGGACAGCTTGCATCCAGAACCAAATGAGCTGCTTGAGAAATAAGACTGGCTGCGTTCAGGTACAACGCTATACTGTACGGCCACACACAGAATTACAGAATCCCAGCATGGCAGGGGGTGGAAGGGACCTCTGGGGATCATCCCCCCCTGCCAAAGCAGGGTCATCTACAGCAGGCTGCACAGGACCATGTCCAGGCAGGTTTTGAATGTCTCCAGAGAAGAGGATTCCACAGCCCCTCTGGGCAGCCTGTTCCAGTGCTCCGTCATCCTCAGAGTGAAGAAGTTCTTCCTCATGTTCAGCTGGAGCTTCCTCTGCTTCAGTTAGTGCCCGTTGCCCCTTGTCCTGTCGCTGGGCATCACTGAAAAGAGTCTGGCCCCATCCTCTCGACACCCTGAAGATATTTCTAAGCATTTATAAGGTCCCCTCTCAGCCTTCTCTTCTCCAGGCTAAACAAGCCCAGCTCCCTCAGCCTTTCCTCCTAGGACACACGCTCCAGTCCCCTAATCATCTTTGTCGCCCTGTGCTGGACTGTCTCCTGTAGTTCCTCACTTCCTCTGCAGCATGATGCTACCCTGAATTATAATGTGATAATCACCTGTAATCTCAGAAATGAGTATGTAAGAATGACAGAAACCACACCACCTTACCATGAACCTTTAGGTCCCATGTAGACAAACCGGTAATCATCCACAGCTATAGCATCCCAGTATTCATTCAGCCAGTCGGATGAGAAATACACAGGGGTGGTGTAAACATCTTGCTCGGGGAAAGCCCTTAAAAAGATAACGTGTTGGAAATCAGTCTCAGAAAAATGCAGCATTGTTCCTTCTAATTCAGTGCCCAAAATCCAGATAGGGAGACCAATCAGGTCTCTAGCAGGCCATTAATACCTTGCTGCCATCTCCTTTATATCATTGACAACTCTGCATTGCATGCAAAATGCACAAAATAGTGCTTTTCTGTCTCCCAGGAAAGCTGTGAAGGTTAACTGCTATTTAGGAGACTCCTAATTACGGCAAAGACAGTTCCTAACAAACACATTCTCTTTAGACTAGATGCCTGCAAGACTGGTTGTCCAACTGGATGACAGGCTGTGGGTGTGAGGGTTAGAAGGGAAGGCAGGCTGTGGGATTTTGACAAGTGAGTGGCCTTCTCCCACAGGATATGCTGCCCCTTTCCCAAGCCACAGCATCAGCGTCTGGGAAAGCAGATAAAACAGGGAGGCAGAGACGACAGACTTCCTCTAGTCTAAGTCCCTGTCACACTCAAAAATGAAAACGAGGTGATCACAAGAAAGTTGGATATGTTTAAGGAAGAAGAGGTTTGAGTGAAAGACATAAAAGTCCTACACAGACACAGGGAATGGACAATACATCCACCTCGCAAGCAGCAGGCTGGAGGAGAAGGAAAGCCAGAACAGGGTGAAGAGAATTTTGAAGACTGGCAAGGTTAACAGAAGCAAAAATGGATAAAAAAGGATTACAACTCACGCATGCTCGCTGAATTAAATATAGCTAGAAATGTCACCCTTCTTTTTAAGGAGGTTTGCTCTGTAGCAGTCAAACCTAAGCCAAACTTTACAGCCACACACTTTCCACAGGGAAAACGTATAGTCGTTTCAAACAGATGAAAAGGAAAGCGCTCAAGAATGTCAACCTCTTCAGGAAACAATGACTTGTTTAAGGATCTTGCCGTGTGAAGTATGCCACGAACTGTGCGGTGCAAGACTGATATTTTGGTGGGCAGGTGCGACCAAGCAGCAGTGCCACCATTTAAACACTCTGGCATTAGAAGATGAGCATTAGGGCTCTGCAGCAGCTCCCAGCTGTGCACGCTATGCAGGGGTTTCCACAGTGCTCTCTTACCTGCTCAGGTGCCAGTCCTTTAGATAAAGGCATCCTCGGGACGAACGGTAGCCATTTTTAATATACTCTTTCCAGTAATTTATATACTCCTTGAAGGCCAGCTGCTCCTTTGGGTTAGAATTGTACTCCTTGACATCGCAGTTGGCAACAGGTACTACAGCCTCTCCTGAAATACAAACTCTTTGAGCCCATGTGGGGACAGAATAACCGACGCTGAAACTGAACTCCCTTCACCTTCTCGACTGTACAGCCTCCAATATCTGGGCCCTATAATGCTAAGTACAGCACAAACATGTAAACCCACAATGCCTAGCCCAGCTCTCACTCCCCAAACCGTCATTCTAGGCAAATATGATTCGGACCAGAAGTGATTTATTCAACACAACCTGACTTTTCCTCTTAAACTACATTAGGAGTGCTGTATTGATTCCTGTATAATATACTAATATTTTACAGCCTGAAGAGATATTTCACTGTAACTATAGAATACCTTCCCCTTGCTGGGGGAAAGCGTCAGGCTGCTCCTCTGGTTTGTTCAGCCTGAAGAAGAGAAGGCTGCAAAGGGACCTTATAAATGCTTACAAATATCTGAAGGGTGGGTGTCAGGAGGATGGGGCCAAGCTCTTTTCAGTGGTGCCCAGTGACAGGACAAGGGGCAACGGGCACAAACTGAGGCACAGGAAGTTCCGTCTGAACATGAGGAAGAACTTCTTCACTCTGAGGGTGACGGAGCACTGGAACAGGCTGCCCAGGGAGGTTGTGGAGTCTCCTTCTCTGGAGATATTCAAGACCCGCCTGGACAAGATCCTGTGCAGCCTGCTGTGGGTGACCCTGCTTCGGCAGGGGGGTTGGACTAGATGACCCCCAGAGGTCCCTTCCAGCCCCTACTATTCTGTGATTCTGTGATTCTGTAACATTAAGCAGGTATATAGATTGGTATGCTTAAATTATACTCACTTTATATTCTATTTCACTGTGGGAATAAATTCGAGATTGGAATCCGTGAAACATAATGTGTGAGCAAGTATAGAAAACAAACGTATTAACTTAGAAAAAAGTCTGGAGAATTGCTTGTTTTATTCTAGAGGTTCTATTCCTAAGATTAAAAAAAAAGCTGTGTCACTCAGCATACACATTTTAATTAGGTATTAAAAACGCCATGACTTACCAAACTTCTGCAGCAGATAATCAAAGTTAGGCTTTCCATCCCAAGTAACCCAATTTCTCCTGCTGCCCCAGTCTTCAGTGAATTTAGCTGAGAAAATACAGGGATGGTTGGGAATCAAATAATCCCGGAAAAAGTCCGAGTAAGTGAATGATTCTACTTTGTCAATAAAGTCGACATGTCCTCCGGGGAGGCAGAATGCACCCTGAGACGAGCTGTTGTAGTCACGAAAAAAGGCAGTGGAATAGGCGAATGTTGCCCTGTCCATGCAGGCTGGACACCCTTCCTGGCTTCGCCAAGGCAGCGTTGGGCAGATGCTACCCCGCTACGCTACGGCCAAAAGAACTGCTTTAAAACATGACTCCAGTCTCTAAATCCATGGAAACTCACGGGAACATATAAACGGCCAGAGGTAAAACAAGAAATCGTGCAGGAGCATCCCACCACACTGGGCTAATTAGAATCTTCCATAGTTTATGAAGTTTAACGCTGGGGGGATATCTGACAACAAATTCACCCTATGGATGGTGAAGATGTTGGTTTTCCCTCGTCAGCTTCTTGCCAGGGTGACCACGCTCTCTGAGGAAGTCACCTTCTTGCTCTCTTGAGGATGACCAGCATCGGCTGGTTCCTTCCTAAAACAGCAGAAATATTAATTTCAGTGGGATATGCCTGCTAAATTAATTAATGGCAGGGGTGGAGGGAAGAAAACCCCATAAATACTTGGGGTCCTGGGAAAATGCTGCAGCCCAGCGACTGTACCCGGGCTCACCCCTTTGTCAGGAGACGATATAAGCTCTGGCACCCCCCACCCTCCCCAGACCTTTCTCTATGGGCCAGGCAGCAGTTATAGATAAAAAAAA